CATTCCTTTGTAATGTTGTGATTTCATTTTTATTGACTTTTTGAGAGAGAGTGCTTCCATCTACTGGTTCACCCTCCAAATGCCTGCAATGGCCAGGGCTGGGCCAGAGTTGGGAGCTGGGAGCTCAATTCACGGTCTTACTCGCAGGGTCTGCATTAGCAGGGAGCTGACGTAAAGAGCCAGAGCCAGAAACAACCCAGGTACTTTTTTTTTTTTTTTTTTTTGACAGGCAGAGTTAGACAGTGAGAGGTGCTCTTGATGTGAGAGGTGAGTATCTTCACTTAGGCTTAACACTTGCCCCTAATTAGACCGCTGACTGAACTTGAACTTCACACCTCATACTTCTAAGCCACACTTTCCATATGCTTGGGGTGATGTGGTTGATTTTGCAGTTTTTGTTCCTTATTAATATGCCTCATCTTTTTGTTCATCTTTTTGTTCAGATTTCATTTCAATGCAGGAAAGGAGTTAAAAATCTCCTTTGGATATTCTGATGAAGCTAATTATTTTCGGATTTGCCTAGAATGCTCTCTGCTTTCATCCTATTGGTTAGGACGTATATTAAATGAACTAGAGGGCTTAGGCCCACTGCTAGTCTTCTGTGTTATCAGTGACACATGAATCATCTTTGGTATTTGGCCTGTGGTTATTAAAATATTTATAAACAAAATACATGGCAACATCTCTTCATACTACTTGAAACTAGAATATTACCAACTTAAATTATTTCTTCATAAGTATACTAATTCTCAAAAATAAAAACATTCTGGCTAGGTGTGATCAAATCTTCATTATGTTTTGTTTATAGGGAGGTTTTTATTAGGTGAAATTATCTTTGCTTACCTCCTGAATTAATAAATGTGGTTGACAGTCAAGAAAAAAACAAAAACAAAAAAAAAAAAACCCTAGTTTATTGGCAGTCCACATCATCTATCTTGTTCACAAGGCTACTATAAGGAAATACCGGTGCTATAGCTAATATCCTTTCAGAAACTGGGCATAATTTAAAAAATCCTTGACCTTGGTGAAATACTATTCCAGAGTACTGTAGAAACATCTTTTCCATAATGCATTCTAGAATCTTGTCCGAGAAGCACTCTACCTCACCAATGTAGAGTTTATATCAAAACTTCATTTAAGCATATGGTATAAATATCATATCTAGCTCATGAAGCTGGCGTGGAATAGCAGGTAAAGCCACTGCTTGCAATGCTGGCACCTCGTATGGATGCCCATTCGATTCCCAGATGCTTTACTTCCAATCCAGCTCCCTGCTAATAGCCTGGGAAAGCAGCGGATGATGCCCAAGTGCTTGGGCCCCTGCCACTCACGTGGTAGACCTGGAAGAAGCTCTTGGCTCTTGCCTTTGGCCTGGCCCTATTCTAGCCTTTCGGCCATCCTGGGAGTGAACCAAAAGATGGAGGCTCTCTGGCTCTCTCTCTCTTGCTCTTTCAAATAAATAAATCTTTTTTTAAATAAAAAAAGAATATAATATCTAGCTTAGACCAATGAAAGATCTAAAGCAGTAGTGCTTTTATTTTAGATATGAAATCTGGAGATACCCAAAATAAGATACGCAACTATTGGAACTCTTTGGTTGGTATCATTCTGAACCCCCATCAGTGTTAAATGGCAATGTAGAACAACTAACAACTAGGTCTTTTTTTTTTTTTTTGACAGGCAGAGTGGACAGTGAGAGAGAGAGACAGAGAGAAAGGTCTTCCTTTTGCCATTGGTTCACCCTCCAATGGCCGCCGTGGCCAGCACACCGCGCTGATCCAAAGGCAGGAGCCAGGTGCTTCTCCTGGTCTCCCATGGGGTGCAGGGCCCAAGCACTTGGGCCATCCTCCACTGCACTCCTGGGCCACAGCAGAGAGCTGGCCTGGAAGAGGGGCAACCAGGACAGAATCTGGAGCCCTGACCGGGACTGGAACCGGGTAGTGCCGACGCCGCAAGGACAACTAGGTCTTAATAGTCAACTTACATGGAAACTATTCCCATTAACATTTACCTCCATTAGAGCTATACAGAGCAAGAAACCACATGGAGTGTGGAAGAAGTAAAATAACTAGAAGCTGTCTGATCAGGTAAAAATATTTAATTAATTAAAAATAAACTAATGTTCAATTCTAATCTGTCATGACTGGATTCGGGGAGACAACAGCTGACAGACCAGCCTAACACACAGCCATCATAAATGTATTACCTGTCAAAAGAATGGTTGTATAGGCCTTGGATGTATGAATCTAAGCTGCAATTAACACTAGACTATAAAAATGGTAGCTGCAACAAATCAAAAATTAGTTTTGACCTCTGAAAGTTATGGAATAAATAAATTTAAAACTCTCCTAGCCAGAGAAGTCCTAAAAGTAATGGTACTGGGTTTGATTTCTAATACCATTCTCCAACAAAATGAGCTCCTTGGAAAAATGCTGATTATGATATAGGCAGGAAATATACAAGGCACATTGGGTCTTAGCTTACTGCTGTCTGGGATGCCGGCATCTCATATCAGAGTACAGGTTCAAGTCCTGGAGACTGCTCCTGGTTCAGCTTCCTGCTAATGCACCTGGGAAGGCAGAAGAGGACCTAAGGGCTTGGGCCCCTGCACCCACGTAAGAGACCCAGATGGAATTCCAGACTCCCAGGCTCAGCTCTGTCCACTGTGGCCATTTGGGGAGTGAACCAGCAAGTGGAAGATCTCTCTTTCTCTCTCTTGCTTTGCCTTTCACATAAATAGTTTTTAAATAATGATAGCTTGGAACATTCCATAGTGTCAGAAAGTAAGTTCTAAAAATAAATATATAAATTATAAAGTACAATGAGTGGAATATGTTAAAGCAATACAGAGGTCCAGCTGAAAGAGCTCTCAGTAGCCTAAACCAGAACAATTTGAGCAACAAAATAACATACCTGAACATAAAAGAAGTAGCCGTGAGTCCCTGCTGATGTAAGTATTTAAATAAATGGGGGAGAAGTCTATGCAGAGTCCTAAATTATTTAGGGTCCTCCCTCAAGGAGGTCGAGAAAAACTCCCACAACTTAAGTGTTGTCTTCCCCTGAGATGGTATGAATTTTAGGGTGTGGGGAGACTTACTGGGCCACATTGGTCTCTAGACTTGTGTGCCGCCTCTTTTCCTCCCTACAGTCACCAAAAATTAAATTTGGCCTTATGTCTATTGCTAAAAGGAAAATGCAACCAAAAAACCCTCTTCTATGAAGCACTGAAAAGTGAGCTGAAGTTGGACCAGAGGTTTTTCATCGCAGCAATGACGCAAAGTCCTTGGAAAGCAACGGGAGGAGTTGGCACTCTTGGACAACCGCCACCCACAGCAAGCGCGCCCCAGGCCTTCCATCGGCATGGCTGCTGAGCCCCAGCGGGGCATCGGTTCTCTCCTGATCATGCCTTCTCTCCTTCCCCTATTTTTCTCCCCCAGCCTCACCTCACAGGAGAAAAACTTCTAGACCTACTTAGAGCAATTCATTGAGCTCCTTGAATTATCCTGCAATTTCCTAAAGAGTTTAGGGGCACTGACCACAATGCTTCACTTAAGAAATTCCTGGGGTTGGTGACAGAGGTGACAAGATTCTGTGGCTATGGTTCTTCAAGATACACAGTCCTTCTGGACAGGGTGAGCAGGCCTAAGACCACATTAAATTCCTGTAATTCACATAATTTTAGATCTGAAAGGAATCCCATAGGTTCCTTAGTCTTCCAGCTGAACGAAGTAAGACCTGTGCTCCTGGAAAACATATTTTCAATCAAATGTTTTCGGAACGTGAGCTTTTTAAAGTATGTTCTCAGGGCCGACGCTGTGGCTTAGCTGGTAGAGCCGCCGCCTGCAGTGCCGGCATCCACATATGGGTCCTGGTTCAAGCCCTGGCTGCTCCTCTTCCAATCCAGCTCTCTGCTATGGCCTGAGGAAGCTGCAGAAGATGGCCCAAGTCCTTGGGCCCCTGCACCCACGAGGGAGACCTGGAAGAAGCTCCTGGCTCCTGATCAGCCCAGCTCCGGCCGCTGGGGCCATCTGGGGAATGAACCAGCAGATGGAAGACCTCTCTCTCTGCCTCTCTAATTCTGCCTTTCAAATAAATAAATAAATCTTAAAAGGGGGGGGGGGGATGAGTCCCAGCTGAATGATTTTTAAAAAACGTTTCCACTTTTTAACTTGTGGGTACAGCAGCAAGCAAACACATCAGAAAAGTGCTTAATGTTTTTCACTGTGATAGTCTTCAGTAAGATAGTGATTAGGAGCTACGTGAAAATACATATCCATGCTAGAGGCAAAATTGGCAAAGGCGATCTTTACAGAGTGGATGGTACCTGCCAACACCACACACCCAGGGACCCCAGCCTTGATTTCTAATTCGATTTAGCAAGAGATAAAAACCCCTTCCCGACCCATCACCGTCGTTCCTAGCGTCTACGGATCTGACAGATAAAGCTCAATTCGCGCTGGTTCGGAAAATGCACACGCTGCCAGCTCACGGGCTTGCTCGGGGAAACTGTGCCGGGAAGAACAAAAACTTCATTTCAAAGCCCTGCGGATCGCCAATGCCGACGTCCACGGCGAAGTTTCAGGGTTCCCTCCGGAGAGTCAAGTCCCTCGTGGTGGCCGCGCGTCGCAGGCTCTCCCCGTCGGGCAAAGGCGGGCACAGAACACACCGAGTGGGCTCGGGCGGGGGAGGGCCCGCTCCCACGACCGCGGACTCGCCAGCCCTGCGGCGGCACGCGCGAGCGTCGTGGGGCGCCGTTCACCGTCGCTCGAGGCAGCGGGCCACCGGCCGTGGCACGGAGGCCCCAGGCCGGACGCTCGCTCCCGGCGGCCGGACGGCCAGAAGCCCCCAGTCCTCGGCCCCCGCGCAAGCGACGCCGGGAAATGCCCACATCCGGGAAACCTGCCGCGGAGTGCGGCGGCGGCGACACAGAGTGGAAGGCAAAATGGCGGCGGCGGTGGCCTGGTGCTAAGGGGAGAGCCAGGTCCCCGCGACCCCTGCGACAGGCCGCGCTGGCCCGCGGCAGCCCCCTGGCGTCTCTGCCCCTCCTGCCCCACCGGGGACACCTGGGGTCCCTGGGCCGGGCTCCGGCCGCGTCGGCGCCCGCCCTCAGGCCCGTAGCCGCTGTCCAGGAGCCCCGCTTCCCCTGCAGGTAGGTCCGGGGCTGGCGTAGCGGGTGGGGCTCACTCTCTCCTCCGGAGCCGGAGTCGGCGAGGCGGTGGCCGCCGGGGCCCACGCCCATCCCCGCTGGCGGGGGTCCAGAGGCTGCTGCGGGCGCCGGGCTGAGCCGGCCCGGTTCGGGCCTGGCGTGGCTGGTTGCGTGGACCTGCGCCGAGCCCTGCCCTGGGGAAGCGAGGGTTGGCCGCGCCCGGTGCTGCAGGCAGAGCCCCGGGCTTTTCGGGTGGGTTAGACGGGGAAGAGCCGGCCTTGCGGCGGCCTTGCGTCCACTGCCTTCTTCCCCCGCCGTCTCTGACGCCTGCGAGCCAGCGGTGTCCAGGAGGGGAGCAAAGGCGAAGGGTGGTTCCGAGGGAAAACTGCAGTTACAGAGCCACGGCCCTTTGGACCCCCGAGGGCCCCCGAATCTCTTCCCCGTCCGCTGTGATGTTAGGTTCGCAGCTGGAAGTGGTGGGAGAAATGGAGGAGTCTTTCTGGAGTAGATGTGCGCGTAAATACGAGGAAAGACAAGGTAACATTGTGCATTATAATGTGAAACAGAACTTGTGGCTCGGAGGTGACTTGATTTAATAACTCACTCTGACTTGTCCAACTGAAAGTCATTTACCGAGCGAATAAAGCTTAATGTCTGTCTACTCGTATTATACGACTTTAAAATACAGATCATTGTCTGGAAGTCATTCGTAAGTCTGATGAGCAGTAAGTTTTGTTTCACACGCAAATACTATTATATCACTGCGGTAGAAATGCATTTGACTGCTCGGGATCATGACGTCTCTCAGACCTTGGTGAACTATTTATTGACGGTTAGAAGTTTTTTTGTTTTGTTTTGTTTTTGCCAGAGAAGAAAAGATAGTACATTACGATTGGAATGGATGGATGTTCTCTGCTTGTGATTGTTTTAGCTGAGGTTTTCTCTTTCCGTGAAATAATTGACGGACAGATAAAGTGGGCTAGTTGATTCCCCAGGGCACTGGAGGAATTCGGTTGATTTTACAGTAAAAGAAGTAGCATTGTGTTCCTGTGACACTTTGCTCCTGCAAGAAACTGGATCATGGCCCATGCTGGGAAAGACACATTGTTTTTGTGAATATAGATTGAATGTGCTGTGACTTTCTCCAAAAATAAAGAAAAAATGCTTCTACATTTTTTATGAATGATAACTGACTTTCATTCTACAGTTGAGTTCTTTTGTTTTTACTGTTAGTCTTTGTGATTTTATATCAACATAGTCTTCAAACAATTCCAACTCATTATTTAGTTACCATTTTAGGTACTGTGTTAGTAGATGATTTTGTTCTTATTCTTTGAGAGACAGAGAGCTCCCATCCGCTGGTTCACTCCCCACATCTGCCCAACAGCAGGAGCCAAAGCTGGGAGCTGGGGACTCAAGCCAGGTCTCCTGTTTGGGCGGCAGGAACCCAACCAGTTGAGGCATCACTGCTGCCCCCCACGGTACACTGGCTGGAAGTTGGAGTTGGGAGCCCGGAATTGAGCGCAGATGCTCTGATGTAGGCTGCAGTTTATCTTTTTTTTTGACAGGCAGAGTGGACAGAGAGAGAGACAGAGAGAAAGGTCTTCCTTTGCCATTGGTTCACGCCGGCGCGCTGCGGGCGGCGCATTGCGCTGATCCAATGGCAGGAGCCAGGTGCTTCTCCTGGTCTCCCATGCGGGTGCAGGGCTCAAGTACTTGGGCCATCCTCCACTGCACTCCCGGGCCACAGCAGAGAGCTGGCCTGGAAGAGGGGCAACCGGGACAGAATCCGGTGCCCCGACCAGGACTAGAACCCAGTGTGCCGGCGCCGCAAGGCAGAGGATTAGCCTAGTGAGCCGCGGCGCCGGCCTGCAGTTTATCTTAACCGCTAAGCTAAACACCTGTGTTCACTGATTATGAAACACCACAAAATTTATTTTTAGTGATTGAACTATTTTTTAAGTTTTAAAAATTAATTATATTTATTTGAAAGGCAGAAAGAGAGAGATCTATCTGTTGGTTCATTCCCAGTATGCCCACAATGGCTAGGGTTGGGCCAGGACATAAGGCAGGAGCCAGGAACTCAATCCAGAGCTCCTATGTAGGTGACTAAGACGCAATCGCCTGAGACATCACCTGCTACCCCCCAGGTAGCATTAGCAGAAAGGTGAAATTGGGAATGGAGCCAGGACTCAAACCCAGGCACTTGATATGGGATGTTAATGCCATTAAAATTAGGCCAGGCTATTTGCCACTGGGCAGCCAATTCATCAGACAAGAGTTGATGCAATGAAACAGATTTATTCAAGAAGTCAACAGTTTGTTGGGGAAAAGCAGACATTTTCAGTCTCAAGGGGCTTTCCTAATTTGCAAGTTACCAGGAATACTTTTTTTTTTTTAAGATTTATTTATTTATTTGAAAGTCAGAGTTACACAGAGAGGAAGGAGAGACACAGAGAGAGAGATTGAGAGGTCTTCCATCCGCTGGTTCACTCCCGAATTGGCTACAGTGGCTGGAGCGGCAGTGATCCGAAGCCAGGAGCCGGGAGCTTCTTCCGGGTCTCCACGTGGGTGTAGGGGCCCAAGGACTTGGGACATCTTCTACTGCTTTCAGACCATAGGAGAGAGCCGGATCGAAGTGGAGCAGCTGGGACTTGAAATGGCACCCATATTGGATGCCGGCATGGCAGGCAGCAGCTTTACCCGCTATGCCACAGCGCAGGCCCCCAGGAAGACTTTTAAAAGGAGAAGGGAAGTTAGGGGAAGTTAGGAAAGATAACTGGCTCAGTTGTTTGATCATCAGGCAGGTTTCCAGGGTCAATTCTGATAATCATCTTGACACCAATTAGGTGGAAGTTCCTTTGACATAAAGCTGGTGGTTATGGTGCAGTTGCAGATCTCTAGCCATGTCCCTGTAGTCAGTCCCTGGAATTCTTGAACAAGCATTATTCATTTGTTGAACTGAACAAACATTCTGATTAGTCCCAAGATCAGCAGTTAGCTTTTCTTAATTAGAGTGTGAAAAGGAGCTGGTAGTAGAGCACAGGGGTTAACCTGCCACTGTGATTTCTGGCTTCCCATCTCAGAGTACAGTTTAAATCCTGACTACTCCACCTCCAATCCAGCTTCCTGCTGATGCACCTGGGAAAGCAGATGAAGATGGCCTAAGTATTTGGGTCCCTTTCATCCAGGTGAGATGGAGTTCTTAGGTCCTGGCTCCAGCCTGGCCCAGTTCCAGCCATTGCAGTCATTTAGGGGGTGAACTAATGGATGGAAGATCTGTCTCTCTCATCCTCTCTATCTGTCATTCTGCCTTTCACATAAAATCTTTAAATTGTGAAAAGCAAAGGGAGATGCATTCTTTTTTACAGTTGCAGATACATGGCTAGTTACTAAGTTAGAACGTGAAAAGGCAAAGGAAGATACGTTCGTGATGGTTACAGATTTCCTCATTCCCTATCTGGAAAAGGGCCGTTGACTTCATTCTGGATACTTGCTGATTGGGGGTGAAGTGAGGAGTTTTTGGAATGGAAGGCATTGACAGTGGTGAAATACGTGTTTTTTAATTCTTCTCTTTGAGGGAGTACAGGCCAAAGACTAGCTATTAGTTTAGATGTTTGCCTATGAAGTTTCTGTGTATACAGAATAATGACTTAATCCCTAAGTAAGTTTCCAACACTATTGCTAGGAGTGTTGATCCTCATTTTAAAATTTCTTCAAAGACAGACTTGATTCCAGATGCCATCCAGGAGAACAGATTTGAAAACCAGCCTCTGACCCTTGGAAGAAGGGGGTTTAGTGATTCAGAGTCTGTCAGAGTCAGGTAGCCTGTCTCCTAATTTTATCCATACTCATTTTTCACCTGGGAAGAGGAGTTAATATAAGCATAGGAGGACAAATTGTCCACTATACAGATTGCACACTGTTTAGCTAGAATGTAGTCTAAACCTGTCCTTTACCTGAAGCTTCCTTGGCTGAAGACTTTAAGGGTGTTTATAATTTTGTAAGCAGGTTACCAGTTTTATTTATGTTTCCAAATTTTAAGTTCATATTTCCAGTTTTAATTCTTGCCTTCATGTACAAAATCAAAGGTTTTTTTGTGCTTTTTTTAAGCACCTAAGTGTATGTGCTGTATATAGATTCTAGCTTTGGGAGTGAGAAAACAAAGCATCACCTAGTTAGTCTCTCTCTCTCTCTCTCTCTTTAAAGTGACCTTCTGTAGAAGTTGTAACTCGTAGTCATTTTGTGAATTTGTGATAGTTACCATCATGCAGTCAGTAAAAATCCTTTCTTTATAGCCTTTTTATATATATATGTGTATATATTTTCTTTTTCTTTTTCTTTCTTTCTTGTATTTTATCTTTTTTTGACAGAGTGACAGAGTGGACAGTGAGAGAGACAGAAAGGTCTTTCTTTACTGTTGGTTCACCCTCCAATAGCCGCTGTGGCCGGCGCACCGCGCTGATCCGAAGCCAGGAGCCAGGTACTTATCCTGGTCTCCCATGGGGTGCAGGGCCCAAGCACTTGGGCCATCCTCCACTGCACTCCCGGGCCATAGCAGAGGGCTGGACTGGAAGAGGGGCAACCGGGACAGAATCTGGCACCCCGACCGGGACTAGAACCTGGTGTGCTGGCGCCGCAGCCGGAGGATTAGCCTATTGAGCCGCGGTGCCGGCCAATATATATATATTTTCATTTAGGGTTGATTCCATGTTAATTTACATATTCCCCCTTAATCATCTGTTCTTCATGAAAACACCTCTCTGATCAGTCATCCTATAGCTAGTTTCTATTTGTCCCTCATTGCCAGGCAGGATTTCTCCTGGTTGCTGGTCTGACCTAGTTCTGTGTTGAGGGAGAGTGGCTAACAAACAGGAGTCAATGTTTTTGGTTTTTGTTTTTTAAAGACTGATTTGGAAGGCAGAGTTAGAAAGAAATCTTCCATCCATTGGTTCACTCCCCAGGTGGCGGCAATGGCCAGTGATGGGACAGGCTGAACCCAG